AAAAAACAGCCAAGCACTGTAGTGATCGCCTGTAGTCCCAGTAACTCTGGAGGCTGAGGCAAGAGGATTGCTTGAGCCCAGAGATTGAGGTCGCTGTGAGCTGTAAGGCCATGGCACACTCTACTGAAGGCTATAAAGGAAAACTCTGTCTCAAAAAAAAAAAAAATTTAATCTCTTTTTCTAAGTGCCATTTGGGTTTCCCTACTCTAGTTCAGCAAGAACGTTGTTTTTATTTCATCTTAACTTTACTTGAATGTACTTGAGGTTTCTTTGAAAAATCACAAGCATGGTGTAGTCAGTCACAGTGGCTCACACCTGCAATTTAGCACTCTGGATGCTAAGGTGGGAGGATTCCTTGAGCTCAGGAGTTTGAGTCCAGCCTGAGCAAGAGCGAGACCCCAGCTCTCCTAAAAACAGAAAGACTAGCTGGGCATGGTGGCGGACACCTGTAGTCCCAGCTGCTCAGGAGGCTGAGGCAAGAGGATGCCTTGAGTCCAGGAGTTTGAGGTTGCTGTGAGCTATAACACCATGACATTCTACCCAGGATGACAAAGTAAGGCTCTATCTCAAATAAATAAATAAATAAATAAATGGTGCATACATTTCCTGGAAGGAAGGTGTAGTTACTAGAAGTTATTAGTTCTATCAGTAATAAATCATAACAGCATATGGTCTTACTCATGTGCTATTAACATGTTCATTTTAGATTTTAGTGTGTGAAGTGAAAGTGGCCTCTAAACTAAACATCTGTCTGTTGTACTAATAAGTAGATCTCTCTGCTTCACAGCTTCTCCTGGTTATTTATTAATTTATCAAGTCCAGCTACCTATATCATTCCTGCCTCTGGTTGAGCGTATTGCTTCTTTTCTGTCTTTTCAGGTATCTGGCATAATTTTGTCCTTGCACTCTTGGGTATTTTAGCTCTCATTCTTCTCCCAGTAATTCTCTTGCCATTTTACTACACTGGAGTCGGCGTGCTTATCACTGAAGTTGCTGAGGTAAGTAATGGATTAATTGGGATATTCTTTTATCGGATGTTGTTACATAACACTTAGTGTTTAATGTCAGGAACTTTTATTCAAGATCTCCTTACAGGCAGAATGCTCACTTTCTTCTGAAGAAATTACTGTAATCCTTTCAAATCTAAAAAATAGTCTTGTGAAATACATTGGCTTTTTTTCAAGATCATGAAAATTGGTTTCAAAATAGTCTACCTGTAGTTAGTTAATAAAATGCATCCTTTACCTTCACTGTTTATTTTTTATCTCTGCTTTTTTTTTTTTTTTTTGTAGTTTTTGGCTGGGGCTGGGTTTGAACCTGCCACCTCCGGCATATGGGGCCAGCACCCTACCCCTTTGAGCCACAGGCACTGCCCCATTTATCTCCGCTTTTGAGTCAAATGTCTTTACTCCTAAGAAATAAGGATGAAACCTCAGCTACCCAACCAGCACATTTCATAGGAGTCTTAAGTTAATATCTTCAATTCTGTATTTCACTCCCTTAGATAGTAACTGCTATGATAACATCCTATCATCCATGTAGACATTGGGAAGAGGAAAATTACCTTTGTGAGCATTTGGCTTACATAGTCATTGTGCTGCTGGTATTGTCTGCATATTTGGGACTGTGTTTATGTAAGGACTTGTCTTATGGTTTTATCCACAGAGCAAATAGGAAAGTGAAGGCAGTCTAATGAGTGTTTGCACAAAAAAAAAAAAAAAAAAAAATTAGCAGTTGAGGGGGGAAGCTTTGTCATTATAATCTTAATGGTCATTAAGTGAATTTTTTTTAATTGTAAAAAATTCAAAATTGGGAAAAGCATAATTTAGAGTTTTGTGTTGTTAATTTTCTAGAACTCTGTGTCTTGGATTCAAAGCAGGATTGTTTTCTGAATTCAAAATATTGTACTTAATACTCGAGGTCTTTAAGTAGTATTTGCTCTGATTAATCATAGCTTATCTTCATATATTATCTGATTTGTTTTTACCCTCTTCCTAAGGATTCACCTGCCATTGGACCCAGAGGCCTTTTTGTAGGAGACCTTGTCACCCATCTGCAGGATTGTCCTGTTACTAATGTGCAAGATTGGAATGAATGTCTAGATACCATCGCCTATGAGCCCCAAATTGGTTACTGTATAAGTGCATCGACCTTACAGCAGTTAAGCTTCCCAGTTAGAGGTGTGTATATTTATTTCATCATTTTAATATAATACCTCAAGCACCAGTACCTGCCATTCACTGATCCTTAGACCATGTCTATGGATTTATTTTGTTCTAATCTTTTTAAAGCAAATCAGTAAGGTAAATAGGTCCAAAGTAATAGATAGTCTTCTTGGTAACTTGGATACCAATAGGTGTGTTTCCTTTATTATATATTATTGTTGAACTTCTAACCATTTTCATATCATATTTGACTTTCAGTACACTAGTATCCAATGTTTTCTGCTTCAGAAAAACTTTAAATCAGCATTCAAGCTCAACCATAACCAATTAACTACATTCCAATAATTAAATATCCTAATATAATATTACCGTTGTGTGTCTATATAGATATATAATACAGTAGACCCTCCATAGTAGACCACCTCCCCACATTGACCACCTCCTTACATTGACCTAACTTTCATAGACCACATATATACCACATGTAACTATCAGTACAATAGGCCCAGTTCTTTATGTTGACCACCTTGTTTCAGTCCCTTTGGTGGTCAACTTACAGAGGTTCTACTATACTATTTTAATCTATACTTCTATAATTTAAAAAAGTTAATATAAGTAATAAGAAGCAATTCTTCTTTGCATAAGCTTATGTCAAAACAGATAAACAACTGATAGTTATCAACCAAATAGATGAAGCATAAGGATTCTGTATGAATATATTATTAGCCAACAGACATGCAATAAAGAAAGATTAAAAGAAAGAAAAGCAACTAACTAAGCAAATGTAAACCCTACCTGAGATTTAGAAAAGATTCCCTTCTTCTGGCTGAAATATATTTATACTTAAACGGTTTTAGTAATAACTGTGTAGGTGGTGGAACATCTGAAGCTAGTTGGGGTAGTTATTTTATGTAGTAGATATTTAGAGGATGTTATCTTAGTTTCTGAAAATAACCTGTAAAGTCAGATATCTTGCTCTGTGCAGTAGGTGACAGGGATGAAACAAGTTTTTTCTCAGAACCGGTTAAATTTCTGAGTTCTTTCAGCTTTGAAAAATCAGCCTTCCAACTCTTTATATGACGTTATGGGGAGCCAGATATGGTGGCTTATGCATGCAATCCTAGCACTCTGGGAGGCTGAGGAGGGTGGATTGCTTGAGCTTAGAAGTTTGAGACCAGCCTGAGCAAGAGTGAGACTCCGTCTCTACTAAAAGTAGAAAAACTGAGGCAGGAGAATCACTTGAGTCCAGGAGTTCGAGATTGCTGTGAGCTATGATGACATCCTGGCACTCTACCCAAGGTGACAGAGTGAGACTCTGCCTCAGAAATAAATAAATATTGAAAAATAAAAATAAAGTTATGGGGAACCCAATTATTGAGAATATTGAAAAATACAAATTATGCTCACAGACTGTATCTTTAAATCAAGAAATGCCATAGATACTTGTCCATATCTACTGGTGTAGGGAAATTTAATAATCAAGAATAATTTTACTAAAGTATTATGACAAGTACAATACAAGGCAAAGTAGTAAGAACTGACTTTTAAAAATTTCTTTCATGGCTCGGTACTCATAGCACAGTGGTTATGGTGCCAGCCACATACACCAAGGCTGCTGGGTTCAAACCCAGCCTGGGCCAGCTAAACAACAATGCCAACTGCAACAAAAAAATAGCTGGGCATTGTGGTAGGCACCTGTAGTCCCAGCTACTTGGGAGGCTGAGGCAAGAAAATTGCTTAAGCCCAGGAGTTTGAGGTTGCTGTGAGCTGTGACGTTATGGCACTCTCCTGGGGGCAACATAATGAGACTCTGTCTCAAAAAAAAAAAAAGTGGAGGTCAAGTTTTTGCCTTATCCTTTACTATTAGGGCTGATGAGTGATTATAGACATGGATTTTTCTGTGTCATTAGATGCTCACAGTTTGCCTTAATAATCACTTCTCAGCCTTTTGGCTAAAATCAAGTACACTTTGTTTTAATATTTTAAATATTGTTACCCAAAATAAAATACCCATTTAGTTATAAGAAAACAAAACAAGCCAGGCATGATGGCTCGCACCTATAATCTAGCACTCTGGGAGATCAAGGTAGGTAGATTGCTTGAGCTCAGGAGTTCAAGACCAGCCTAAGCAAGAATGAGACCCCCATCTCTACTAAAAATAGAAAAATGGGCATAGAGGTGCTCGCCTGTAGTCTCAGCTACCCCACAGGCTGAGACAAGAAGATTGCTCAAGCCCAAGAATTGGTTGCTGTGAGCTATCATGCCATAGCACTCTACCCTAAAATAAAATAAAATAAAAAAGAAAGGAAGAGAGAGAGAGAGGAAGGAAGGGAGGGGAGGAGGGAAGGGAGGAAAGAAAAAACTACCCATATAGCTAGCTAGTACAGAGGAAAAATTAATTTATCAATTAGTTTGCTTTGCCTCTGTTTGGTTCTTCAGTATGTATTGGCCAAGGAGAAAGAACAATGGTACATGGCTAGGGGAGATCCAGTATAACTAATACAAGATGTCTTCCCCAAATAATGTAGTAAAATGAACAACTGTTAAAAAAACAAGCAAAATTTGGCTGAAATACAAAACCCTTGTAAAATCACATTGCATATCAACTAACATTTTCATGATAAGTGTTTCCAAAGACACTCTTCTAATAGAAAAGCTTTTTGCAATACTGGAAAACAGAAATAACTTTGTTCTTGAGAGTGTTTTTATCAGCACATCTGAGTATGGTAGTTTATATTCAAGACTAAAATTTATTTGGTCCTTGCCACATATCAATTTATGCTTTATCAGTTTGGTGTCTTCAATGCAGGAAACTTTCCAAGATAAATACATGAGATCATTTTTGTCCCACCTATAACAGTGATTTAGCTTCCTTATTTTGCCCGAGATACAAGTAAAGCAGTCCACCAAAGAGCTTTAAAAAAATAAATACTGGCTCAGCGCCCGTAGCACAGTGGTTATGGCACCAGCCACATACACCAAGGCTGGAAGGTTTGACCCTGGCCCGGGCCAGCTAAACAACAATGACAACTGCAACAAAAAATAGCTGGGCGTTGTGGTGGGCACCTGTAGTCCCAGCTACTTGGAAGGCTGAGGCCAGAGAATCGCTTAAGGCCAAACGTTTGAGGTTGCTGTGAACTGTGACATTATAGCACTCTACTGAGGGCAACATAATGAGACTCTGTCTCGAAAAACAAATAAATACTGGGAATAAACAGTTGCCCAGTTTCTGTTGAATTCCAAAAAAAAAAAGATAACTGGATTACTGGTGTACAGGCAGATATGTACATATCTGTGGGTCCAATTAAGTTTCCCTGCATTTATAGGGAAAGCCTCAAGGTCACCCCAGAGGTAGAATAAGTATTTGGATATAATAGAAACTTCTTAGGCATCCTCTAGCCACCTCTGTTTACTAACACCCTGGTGTGGGAGTTCACAAGTAATGTTGGATCAGTGGCATTAGAGCACATAATAGTGACTCATTAAACATTTGTGCTTGACCAGCTGGAGTTATTGTGAAACCTAGTGAGACTCTGGAACTCAAGCAGAACAGTTGTGTCCAAATTCATATCCATTTTACATTTTTTGTCTTAAAAGCAGATTTTTTATTGCAAATGTGCTTTATTTGCTATTTTAACTATTTTTAAATTTTTTTCTCTTTTTGTTTCTTTATTATTTCAAAATATTGTAAGCCAAGTGCATTGGCTCATGCCTGTAATCCCAACACTATGGGAGGCCCAGGCAAGTGGATTTTTTGAGCTCAGGAGTTCAAGACCAGTCTGAGAAAAAGTGAGTCTCTAGTAAAAATAGAAAAATTAGCCAGGTGTTGTCACTCAAGAGGCTGAGGAAGGAGAATGGCTTGAGCCCAGGAGTTTGAGGTTGCTGTGAGCTATCACACCATGGCACTCTACTGAGGGCAATAAAGTTAGACTCTCTCAAAACAAACCCTCAAAATATTATGGAGGCACAAGCCAGGTGCAGTGGCTCACACCTGTAATCCTAGCACTCTGGGAGGCCGAGGCGGGTAGATTGCCTGAGCTCACAGGTTTGAGACCAGCCAGAGCCAGAGCGATACCCCGTCCCTAAAAATAGCTAGGCATTGTGGTGGGAGCCTGTAGTCTCAGCTACTTGGGAGGCTAAGATAAGAGAATCGCTTGAGCCCAAGAATTTGAGGTTGCTGTGAGCTATGATGCCACGGCACTCTACTAAGGGTGACAGGTGAAACTCTGTCTTAAGAAAAAAAAAATTATGGAGGTACAAATGTTTTTCCTTACATTTATCAATTTTGTTATTCTTGGGTCAGGGTTATAAGTGCCCACTGTCTGAATAGTGTTCGTTGTACCCATTAGGGAGGTAAAAGCCCATCCCTTCTTCCCCTTCCCCCTGTTTGATTTCCCCAGAATTTTACTTTCCTCTGTGCACATGCATGCTTACCAGTTAGTTCCAGATTAATAGTGAGCAGATGTGATGTTTGTTTTTCCATTCTTTACATACTTCATTTAGGATAATGGTCTCTGGTTCCATACAGATTGCTGCAAAAGCCCTTAATTCATCCTTCTTCATGGCTGAGGAGTATTCCATAGTGTACATATACCATATTTTGTTAATCCACTCATGAATTGATGGGAATTTGTGTTGATTCCACATCTTTGCAATTGTGAATTATGATGCAATAAATATTGTTGTGCAGGTGTCTTTGATAAAATGACTTCTTTTCCTTTGGGTAAATACCCAGTGTTGGGATTACTAGAATAAATGTGTTAGGTCTATTTTTAGTTCTTTAAGGAATCTCCATACTGTTTTCCATAGAGGATATGGTAATTTGCAATCCTACCAACAGTGTATAAGCATTCCTTTTTCTCTGCATCCATGCCAGCATCTATTTTTTTTGGACTTTTTAATAAAAGCCATTGTGATTGGGGTAAGGTGATATCTCACTGTGGTTTTAATTTGTATTTCCCTGACAATTAGTTGGAGTTGAGCATTTTTTCATGTGTTTATTGACTATTTGTCTATCTTCTTCTGAGAAGCTTCTGTTCATGTCTTTTCCCACTTTTTTTTTTTTTTTTTT